TCGTTTAACATTAAATTATTCACTTTTTGTTTCAATTTGTTCTTCTATTTCTCTAGATATTTAATAATAAAGCTTAACAATATTTCTCCAGTTATTTTAATAAAAAACAAAAAACAAGGTCAAGTTGATCGCTGCTGGTTAAAAAAAAAAAAATAATAAACTACATCACTCTGCTCTGAATAAAGTTTTTAGCATCAGTTTTGGATAGCCCCTTAAAATTTTTATATACATACTATTTAATTTGCTTCTCAATTTTGTAACTAACAAAAAAATTTAAATTTCTCGAATTTCTGGAATCTCTTAGAAAACAATTTTCTGAGTAAATTTGTTTCTGAGTAAAGACGTGGGCCAAATTCACTCATTCGATATGGAAAAAAAATCTCGATCTTACTGGAAATATTCAGTAGAAACGACACTCGGTATTATGAATGCTAGAGTTCTACCACCATTTTCATTTATTATCAAAGAAGTAAGCAAAGGCTATAGTCGTGCTGGGCCAATCATGCCCTACAAAACTAGAATATATTGGAAAACCTCCTCAGGTCCAAACCAGAGTTTATTGAGATAATATGCTAGACAGTCCTGCACAAACGTTACCCTTGACAGGAGCATTTGCCCGATATTTCCCTCTCTCTGTCGTGCTGACTGGTATTCAAAAAAAGTTTCACATTAAGAAATACAATTTCCCAAATGCTAGACTTCTGCCCTGTCCTTAACTCTCTCCTCATGCAAAATTCTGGTTTGATTGGTGTTTGTGACCCATAGAGCAACTGTAAAATAAAGAAAATTTAAAGCAATAGGCCTCTATTCTGACACTAACTCTAAAATTTTGACAAAAAAATCACTTTTTATTGGCATATTTTTGTGCGATTTTCTTAGATTTTATCCTTTTCGGGCAAGAGGCAAATCCTAATTTGGTGAGAATTTTCAAAAACAATACAGCGGTTCTAGACTTATAAGCGAAATAAATAACATCAATTCCTTGTACATATACAGGGTGAGATGAAAAAACTGCAAACCAACTTCAGACTGCTGTCGTTTCTAAGCCACTAGTCCGACAGCTGTTAAAATTATTCCATTGAAATTCCAAAAAGTGCAAGAACTTACACCGCAACAGAAAGAAAATAGACTCAAAAGAGCTAAAGAGTTGCTTCGCTTGGCCGAAAGTGGTGAACTGCCGAATTTGGTTTTATTCGATGAGAAAACATTAGTTGTCCAGCAGTTTGTAAACAAACAAAATGATCGTGTTCACTTGCCAAAGAGGTCAGTTGAAAATGGGCACCTTCAGTTGACCATCAGAACTCAAGCGCCGGCCATGGTGACGCCGATGGTCGCTCTCTGCTTGTACTAATCGACCGTGACAACAGAATCAATCCTGAATATTATCGCGAAAATATTCTGGAGGGTGTATTAAAGCCTTGGGTACGCAAAGATTTTGGCCGCAGACCTTGAATATTCTAACAGGACTCACCACAATCGCACTCGGCAATGGTTACAAAATAAGGTTCCTCGCTTCATTTCCAGCGCACAATGGCCACCAAAAATCTCCGGATGCCAATCCGTTGGACTTTTGTGTCTGGAGTATTTTGGAAAGCAAGTTTAGCACTTGAAAATACCAAAGTGTCGATCACCTCAAGCCCGAGAATGGGCCAAAATACCGCAGAGCAACATTCGGGCAGCGTGTGACGGTTTAATTGGCCGTTTGAAGGCCATAATTCGTGCCAAAGGTGATCAATTCGAACAAATCTTAACTTATATTAAAGTTTCATTCTATTTCCGACATTTTTTTGCTTTCATTATGGCGTTTGACTTTGTTGCTGTTTTTTTATCTCACCCTGTACATAGATAGATCGACTCAGGTCGGCCATATATAGCTTCTTATGTCGGCGACCAATATTTTGAGGTGCTACATAATTTTTGGCCCAAGCAAACTTATAACACCCCCAATACATAGTATTGTAGGGTTGTATAGGATAGGAATTCTTTCGATATCGAATGCAGGAATTTGACCCCAGGATGATGTTATTCCAGAACAACTATTATTGAATTTCTTCTTCTTTTAGAGACTTCCTTCTTTTCCAATATGACTATATACATCATACATATTCGTTGCGGCTATGCGATTTCACTTTCAAAATCTTATGGTATGAATTCAGTTTAGCTAATACTCATAATACCATAAAATGTTCTACCAAGTGATGTAGTGAGAAATATTTTATAAATAACGAGGCGTACACAAAAAATAAATGCTAGCGGTATATAGTAAACAATATTTACGTATTATTAAATAAATATATATGTAATGCATGTAGAAATTAAGTAATGTGTAATTGACTTCAACAATGCTGCAGCAGTAAAATGCAGTAGGTATGCTGGACTTTTCAAAATCTACTGATTATCTCAACTCAATAGAAGTAGATTACGAGTCTCAATTTTATTGCGCTAATTAATTAACTAAACAATTAATTACTTAATTAATCAATATTTCCACATTAATGAAGTCAACCAAACATTACTTCTTTCACGCTTACATTCAAAAGTGTTGTGGGTATTTTTATGTGTAATTGATCACTTCGTTTTCTTTTATTAGATGTAAATTAAGGAATTAACAAAGGATAGCAACAACTTATTGCTTATCAACATTGTTGTTGCTGTTGTCATTGTAATCGTATAAATTACACATCAATACAAAATATACATATATATAAGAATAAATTAGTAAAAATAGTGGTGCTACAAAATTTAAGCGAAATCAGTCTAAAATATAGATATTTGCAAGTAGAAAATAAAAATACAAATTTTATTGTAGTCAAAATTTAAAAAAGTGGCATTATACGAGGATATTTTCCACTGGCTATGACAGAGCTTGGTGTAAATATTCGGTTTGGCTTCCATTACGTATTTTATTAGAAAAATCAGTTTAGACATTATGTTGTGTTCCTCAAAATTACAAAAATCACTCACATAGCGAGGATGGAAAGCCTACTCAGTTATATAAAAAGTTTACTAAGAAATGGGCATATATCGCTAATTCTTAAGGAGTATCGTTGCCTCTAAAAAAATAATAGCTATATCGATTGCAAGGGCAATCGTACATAGCCCTTCATTTTTTTGTTGTTATTGTATAAGTGTAAAAATGCGCACTGATTCAATTTACAACCTAAGCATTGGTCTGAACACATACCCACATTAGGCTTGTAAACTGAGTTAAATGAAATGGTCCCGCACCTAATAAGATGTTTACCCAATTAGAATTTTTTTTTTCAAATCATGGTCCCGTGCTCGAAATCTGGACGAACCTTTCGTTGAGACGTCTGAAGTGTCCCATAGGCTTCCAAAAGATAAAAAATGCCAGGAAGTTACTATAATTGCCCCTGCGATATAGCCTTGAAGTCCTGTCTAAGGTTACAATTTTCACATTCCCAGTGCCTTTAGAATCTTAATGTCTTTAAAAAAATCCTGTACGGATTTGAAAATCTAATAAGATTTTTAACCCATTGGAATTTTTTTTCAAACCTTGGTCCCGTGCGTCTGAAGTTTCCCATATGGGTCCAAAAGTTCAAAAATGTAAAGAAGTTATTCTAATTGATACTTGCGATATAGACTTGAAGTCCTGTCTAAGATTACAATTTTCACATTTTTTAGAATCTAAATATCTTTAAAAGTAACTGTAGGGATTTGAGAATCTAATAAAATTTTTACCCCATTAGAATCGATCAAATCAAAAATGTATGGAAGTTATTATAATTGCCACCTGCGATATAGTCTTGAAGTGCTGCCTAAGGTTACAATCTTCAACTTTCCAGTGCTTTTAGAATCTAAATGTCTTTAAAAATAACTGTACGGATTTGAGAACCTAATAGGATTTTTACCCCATTGGAATTTTTTTCAAACCTTGGTCCCGTGCTCGAAATCTGTATGAAGAAGTGTCCCACATGGGTCCAAAAGCTGCGATATGGACTTGAAACCTGTCTAATGTTACAATTTTCAAATTTTTAGTGCTTTCAGAATCTTAATGCCTTTAGAAATAGCCGTACGGATTTAAAAACCTAATGGATTTTTTACCCCATTGGAAACTTTTTTCAAACCCACCAACTAAAGGTATTAAGTAGGAAGGACAACTTCATATTTAATTTTTCAATATTTTTTATTTCCAAACCATCATTCTAAGAATTCCATTTCAAGAAATACTATAAAGAACGACAATTATTTCCATGGCGTCGATTGATATAGGGAAGCTATAAAAACCAAAACTTTTTAAAAAATAGGTTTAGCTTATTAGGCGTTACAGATACGGGGAAATATTAAAATTTCTTCTCCCAGCATAGGTCGATTAAATAATTGAAATACCCTCATAATCTCAAAATTATTGTTAACATTTCATATGTTAAATTCACAATTGATTGAGTTTTGATAATACGGAGCAAATCATCTGATCTTAACGGATAACCTTTTAAATAAAAAAATGTATCAAAAATGTAAAAGGGACGGCGGAATAGAATTGTAAACACATTAGGGTTTTATCTGCATTCTCTCTCTTTTACAATACTTTTTAGCAATATATTGTTAGGATATCCATTGGGAAATTCTTTAGATAAAAAATACAAATTTTGCAACAAAATCATCTTCAAAAAAACTTAAAAAAAGATTTCTGAATATTTTGCAATTTTTTTTTTTTTTTTGTGTATATTCTTTTAAAAATAATTAATATAATTATATCTTAATAAATACAATGTTCAATACATTAATATTCCATTGTTTCTAAAACAAATTTGTATGCCTCAACTCTAAATGCTTAGAATGGCCTACTCTGTACGATGTGTTTAATAAAGAAAAACAAAGTAGTTTTTAATATAAATTATTTCTTTTTTGGAGACTTTAATAATACGCCACTTAAAAAACTATCTACATTTTTGACTGGATCACTTTAGAACGACTTTTGTAGCACCGCTTTGTGTTGTAATCCAAATTCGACTTAAAACTAAACAAATGGACAAATATTTCATTAGTTGAGTTAAGTGTATTTTGTTTTTCATTTGTAAACTTTGCAATTTGACTCGAATAAAGATACTTGGTTTCTGTTCTTAAATTAGTACTGCGGTACTTAGTGTACCAACTATATATAATGCTAAAATATATATATGTAAGAAGATCTTTAATAAAGTTTCTGTTTGGTTTTATTGTGATAGAACGTTTTCTTTTTTTTCTGTAATGTACTTTTTGCTTATTGTTTGTTTGTTTCGTATCGGTTTTCTTTGTTTTGATTTGAAGCAGAGCTTTTGTAAAGTGTTTCAAGTTTGTTTCAATTAAAGTAAAGTTTGTAACAATTTTTGGTTTTCTTTGTAGTTTTTTGTTCATTTTTTTGTGTTCTTTAGACCAAAATGGAGCGTGTAAAGTTTGAATTTATCGAAAGAGATAGAATAGTTGATAGCCCTATTGAATAAAAGTAGTTTTGTGTGTGTTCGCAGGAATTATTCAATATCTAACTCAATACTCTATGGGATTAGGATCTATAGGTTTGCGGGAATATTTCAAACCCAAGTTATCGCTAATTTCATCGATAACGTCCAGAGCGTAGTCCAATTGTTCTTTGGTATGTGCCGCCGACAGACAATAACGTATGCGACCCTCCATAATGGGTGTGGCAGGAAAACCGACGCCAACAACAGCAATATTGCGGGTAGTTAAGGTACGTACAACAGCTCTGTAAAATAGTTAATACATTTTTGTTAATAATTTGTTCAATTATTTTTCGATATTAGAGTTATTGTTCTTTACATAAATATATCCTTGTTAGTGAAACATCTATAAAAATGGAAATAGATTGAATAGTTAAATCAATGGCTCGTGTTTAGCCATCTAAGATTCGTAAATATTTCAATGGGTTTTGAATCTTCTGATTTAGACCCATGTTTACAGATTTTTTTGGTGTTGGAAAATAGGTTGATATTTTATTTATTCTAAAGTATAAAAAATAAAAGGTGATAGAATTGAAATTAATGAATTTATTATAGCATTCGCCAATTCCACCTAATCATTAGTTTTATTACAATGATTTATTACCAGCAGGTAATGTTTTGGTGTGTTTTTATTATGGACTTTACCAATGTTGTCACATGGGTTTTTTATATGAAGTGGATGGAAAGATAAAAAGTGCATTTATTTTTTTTTTCAATATTTTTGTTTTGTGATTATCACTGTGAAACAATTGTGGGGTCCTGGTAGTGAGTTATCAAATCCACTTCAGCAAGTAGAACAAAATAAAAAAGAGTTTAGACCAAACGAAAGTTCGCCTATATTTAAAAAATAATAAAATCTGAAAAAATTTGCTCAATTCTAGATCCTAAGCTATTCGAGATGGGTCATCAATTCACGCTTAGCCTCATTCTTGAGTTTTTATCTTTCTTCCCAAACGATTTTGAGTTTTCAGCTAGTAGAACACCTACTTGAAAAAAATAGTTCGGAACTCTTTGGGTCCTAAGGGACCGGATATGGTATTCTTCCTTTTCTCATACTTTAACATATGAAAAAACGGCAACCAACTTCAGACTGATTTCATTTATAAGCCACTCGTCCGACAGCTGTTACAATTATTCCAGTGACAGCTCATTAAATTCTTTACAAGCATACAAAAGCATTTTGGTGAGAATTTTCCAGAAAAAAGTTATTCCTGATGAAATTCAAACATGATAGTGTGATTTCTTTATATTTGGCTGGAAAACCACAACTGGCTATAGTTAGAGCACTCCAGCATTTAAATGTGAATAAATCTTTGGTGTTTCGAACCATCGCTCGTTACCGTGATACTGGTAGCGTAGCCCGACATCAAGGAAGTGGACGTAAGAAAACAGCAACATCAGCAGAAATGGTTCGAAAAGTAAGGAAGCTACTTGATCGAAACCCGCGACGCAGTGGCCGAAAAATGGCTCATGAGCTGAACATATCTCAATATTCCATTCGGCAAATATTGAAAAATGAGCTTGGGGTAAAGCCATTGAAATTCCAAAAAGTGCAAGAACTTACACCGCAACGGAAAGAAAATAGACTCAAAACTGCTAAAGAGTTGCTTCGGTTGGCCGAAAGTGGTGAACTGCCGAATTTGGTTTTTTCCGATGAGAAAACATTCGTTGTACAGCAGTTTGTAAACAAACAAAATAATCGTGTCAGTTGAAAATGTGCACCTTCGTTGGCCACCAGAACTCAAGGGCCATGGTGATGGTGTGGGCCGCCATAACAGTATTAATCGACCGTGGCATCAAAATTAATGCCGAATATTATCGCGAAAATATTCTGGAGGATGTATTAAAGCCTTGGGCACGCAAACATTTTGGCCGCTGACCTTGGGCATTCTAACAGGACTCAGCACCATTGCACTCAGCATGCGCCCCCCAAGAATGGTTACACAATGAGGTTCCTCGCTTCATTTCCAGCGCACAATGGCCACCAAAATCTCCGGACACCAATCAGATCTTTGGGCCATATTCGACAATTCGACAATATTCGACAATTACAATTTCAATGTTACGAATTACATCAAATTATTCGAATTTCAGCGGAAAATGGTAAAGAGCAGGAAACCTTTCAGGCAAATCTTGATAGCATTCATTCTGATGCAGTCGCGAATGTACACCCTCATCTATTGCAGCTGAATTTATGGGATTCAGCTTTTCCTGGACTTGGTTATAATTAGCGACGTAGTCCAGGTGTAACCCTGTCCCTGCTAATAACAGTAATATTTCTCCCACCCCATTAGGTTTATTTCCTCCCCTTGTACTTACCCAATTTTGGAGAAAAGATACACCAACATAGGCACAACAGGTGAATCTTCATGACCATAAGTGATGACACCCATTTGGGCCAAACGTCTGCGGAAATAGCGGGTGTTGCGAGCCAATTGATTGATTTTCCGCCGACCGAGATCACTGCCGTCAACGCCCATTATAATACTCATTGAAGTGTAAATTTGCTGGGCCACTGGCGGAGACATGGTGGCTGCATAGCAATGGGCATGACTGTTTGTGCGTAAGAAGTCCACCAATTTCTGAAAATTAAAAAAAATTAGTTTCTTTCTTCTATAAATGATAACAAATTTATCCTACCTTTGATCCTGCAATATAGCCACCAGCACTACCAAAACTCTTTGTAAATGTACCCATTAGAATATCAACATCTTTGGGATCACAATTGAAATAATCCACAACTCCACCGCCATTGGGTCCCAAGGCACCAATACTGTGAGCCTCATCCAAATACAAATATGCCTTGTATTTCTTTTTCAAGGCAATAATTTCGGGCAGGCGACAAATACTGCCCTCCATACTGTATACACCCTCACAAATAATGAGGATTTTCTTCCATGGTTTGCCGCCATTCTTGGGATTGCCATAGACTACGCTCTGTCTCAAAACACGTTCCAAATCTTTCATGTTGTTGTGTTTGAACACCTTGGTGGTGGCGCCGGACAAACGTAAACCCAAAATGATAGAAGCGTGATTCTTTTCATCACTCAATACCAGGCAACCGGGTGACAGCAACGAGGGTAAATTCAGGGCATTTGTGGCAAAACCCATGCCGAATACAATGGCATCCTCAACGCCCAAATAACGGGCTGTCAACTTTTCCAAATCCAAATGCAACTGGGTGGTGCCCAATTCTACACGTGGACTACACAAGGCCAAACCCCATTCTCGGCATGTTTTCTCCGAATCATCGGCACAGGGACCCGTGGCTGCAGCAAATCCCAAATAGTTGTATGATCCGAGATTGAGACACGTCGTCTCGGTGCCGGTGAATTCAAATGACCAACCATAATCGGGTGTGACACGATCTTTCAGGGTCAATTCGGCCCCAGGCACACTACATATGGGACGATTCCAACAATCTCGTATTCTTCGATACACATAACGAGAATAGAAACTTTCAAAGGCATCATAAAGGCTAACATAGCCGTCACGATTTTTCTCCTTGGCCACTTTCGGGACAAACAGCAACTGATTCAAATAGCCCAATATCATGAGCAAATAGAATCCTAAATATGTAAGGCAGGCTGTGCGTAGGGGAACTTCCTCGAATGAGGTTTTTTGGTAATGTTCTTCGGCTGGCGGCAGGATGCCATCGGCAGCTGATGGCTTTGATTTGACACCATATTCTGTGCTGGAATTTGTTGCTGAATTGTAAAATCCATTTGTGGTTTTCTGTAAAAGAAAGGAAAGGAGGTTAAAAGTAGGAATGAAATTGAGATATGCAATTATTACTCTTTTCATTTTAGGCAAATTCTTTCGTGGAGGGTAAAGGGGCGTATTTTTTTATTTAGCTATCAAATTCCACAAAAAGCCATGAAAAGAAAATATAAAATATATTGTTTATTATATTCCAAATAGGTTTATATGAACCCAGAATCCCAACAAATAAAATGTTTTCAAATAAAAGCGAAACTTTATTGCATGACTTATTAACTCTGTTGGGTTTATTTGAAACTGAAAACCTCCAACAATTGCGTTATGGGGGTTTATTTTCAATTCTTATCTTTCGATATAAAAAATAATACCCCCAAAAGCAAAACAAAACTAAAAAAAACAGTATGACAACAATGCATTTAAGCGATTACATGAGCGAGTCCAGGTAAATAATGAATCAAAATTTTGTTGTTTTTCCAATTTGTGAATATGTAGGTACTACTTCACCCCACAACGTGTTATGAATGTACAAAATCATTTTTCGGTATCTAACAACAAAAATGTGACATAATAACAACAAATCCATATGAATCGTTATAATGACAACAACAACCACAACAAAAATATTATCGTCGTTATCATTATTGTACACCGAAACTGGCGCTCGTGGAGTGACTGTTTTAGTCCATTTATATATTCTCTCGTACATAATACGTATGTGTGTAGACGTAACGAAATCCAAAAACACGCCACAACTTCGAACGAAAATATTTAATTTAGATACGATTAAATTTTGTGCATCATCATAGGCGTAAAAGTCTATATGCCGCCACAGACAGGTGTTATCAACAGTTTGTGCAATATAACGTTTGTTTGAATCATTTTATGATCTGGTCTAGAGATTAGCCTAGCGTAGGTGGTGAGAGTTCTGATTCACTTGTCTGATGTTTATTACATCATAGAACAACTAGCCAGCCAGCCATTTAATTTTGACGTGTCATCTTAACTGGGTATTATTTTAATTTCTTAGTTGCTCTAGGGAAAATGGGGAAATGTGCAACATTTCTAACACATGCTTTTTATGTTGGATAAATGTTTAGCATTTTCATTGTTCCCAGCTGAATTGTTAAGCAACAGAATACTCATTTGGGCTGTGTATTTTGCACATACGACTGAAATTAGCCTGACTATCGTAATATATAGTCACTGGTCGTATGCTGCATGGTTCTTCATTAAGCTTATATGAGTGTTTTGGGTCGAAAACGCCAGCACCGGTACCTTCATCCATCTTGGAGCCAGACCGTGCAGAAAAGGTTCATCACTAACCCATGCGTGCATATCAGGTCACGTTAATAACACCAATACAATTGAAGCCGACTCACAGCATATATCCACTGGCTGAAATTCACAGAACATTTAATACAATTTTGGGAGTGCTCTTGAGAGCTCCGGTTGTAAGGATGCGGCTCTGCACTGTCTGTCTGGCTGGGGTGCGCACGATAACTCTCAAATGGATTATCCGATTTATTCCAAACTTCGTAACATCGTAATATTATTGTCAAACTTAGATCCAGCTCGGAGATGGACAAAATCGGTCCACTCCTTCTGGTACCTCCCACACAAAATGTCAAAATTTTCAAAAATAATATAATTTTCTGCACATAAAGTGAAAGGATAATCGGATTTTTCTCAAAACTTTGCGAATCCTAATATTTTTATCAACACTTGGTCAGGTGCGAAAATAGACAATATCGGTCCCCTCCATCCAGTACCTCCTCCACAGAGGGTGAACATTTTCAATAATTATGACTCTTATAAAATGTGATGTAAGTGTCCGATCGTCTTCAAATTACACACATTACAATATTTTTATTAACCCAAGGTCTGGTTTGAAGGTTAAATATATATCGCTCTAATCCTTCTGGTACCTCCCCCACAAAAGGTCGACGTTTTGAATAACGAAAACGATCAGAAAAAAGAATCTAGTTTTCTTCAAATTTCACACATCACAATATTTTCAGTAACCCAAAGCCTGGTGTGAAAATGGGATACCTAAACATTTTAAGTATCCATGAAGCTTATAAAACGTGAAATTATCATTCGATCCCATTCAGACTTGGCGCATCTCAATATTTTCATCAACACAAATTTTGTTATAAAGACGGTAATGATATACATATCTGTGAACCCTTCTGGTACCTCACGCACAAAGGGTCACAATTTCCAATACCTAAATCCGTCAAAACTTGCGAAACAAGTCGGCGATTCTTTACAACTTGCATTATCTACATTTTTCTCTTAACCAGAAATCTGATATGAATATGTAATTTATCGAAATTTATTATTTCCATAAAATTGGATATAAATGTTCAATATCTTTCAAATTTTGGACATACCAATATTTTTATCTGTATTAAATAGAATACTTCGGTCCACTATATTTGGTACCTCTTGTATATTTCCACATTTTCCAAAAATTTGAACATATCTCATATAAAGTATAGGAAGTTGTCGATATATTCCAAATCTGGCACGTTATAATATTTTTATCAGTCTTAGGTCAGATACGAATAAGGCAATAATGTCCAACTGCTAATGGAAATCTTTCCCAAAGTCGAATGGATTATCCCTTCAATTAGGTTGGAAGGAAAGCCAGGGGCATAGGGAGCATTGTGGATCGACTCTAGTTTCCTTCCAGTTTGATGTAAATGATGCATTAACCATGCTACATTTCTAAGGTTGGGATGGATCAAACGATCAAGTTAAGACTAGAACAACGTTTGAACCAAATCAAATTATATTTAGCTAAAGTTGCCATATATGTTCTTCGTCCGATTTAATATTTAAGCCAAAGTCTTAATTTCCACTCCATAACAATAATGTTTACAGCATAAACAACAGTTTGGTCAAAATCGATTCGCACATCTAAGTTCTCTACAATTCCAAATTTAGACTGATCAAAGGCACACAATTTCCCAATATAAACGTATGCTTGTCACAGGAAGGTCTGCTAAGTATCCAACTTTTGCTTTTTTTCATTGGTTCTAACTATATAGGTTACAAATTTATAGTAAATGGTATGTCAATGGATCAATATTTCCAAATTTCTTTTACCATGTGCGCCAGAGAAAAAATGTTGCTTTTTTGTGGATTCGTCTGACATGTTTCTAGAAAAACTAGGTTCTTCAAAAAGTCGTTTCCAATAACAATTGGAATAGAGCAAACATAAACAAATGGTATCAGAGATCTTTTAAATTCATTAGCATGTGTATGTTAATGGCACAATAGTTTTTTTTTTTTTTTTTTTGTTTGTGGAATACTTTACAACAAATATGGGTACTTCAAAAACCAATAACAACAACAAATCCCAGCATACCATTGGAAAAAATCAAACACAAAACATCACACGTTTTATGTTTATTTGAAAAGTAATATGGTGGCTACAATGCATTTCTCTGAATAGAAATTATAGTTAAATGCCTCACTGGATGTAGGCACCAAATGAGCGAACGAAAGATCGAATTAATTGATGTATGACCACACAGTTCACAACACACAACTCGCCAATGTGTTAGAATTGTTTCTTAATAGATATCAATGGAAGCCAATAGAGCAGCAGTTAAAAGTTGATAAAATATTTCAAATCAAATCATAGAAACAATGTGACCCATGACATACAAATATTGCAAAGCAAACAATGTTAGGAATCTTCACAATTTCGTAGTAACAATCTATGTGAGTGTGATATGTTTCGAATATTACTAATATTCTGAGTTGCCTATGTAAACATGCACGCCTCCATGTTTTTGTTCTAAACGAAAGACCGCAGCTAATCAAGAATAAACAAAGGTGCAAAGTCCAAACTTTCAATTTTTTCGGAAATACATGACAAGACAAGTTTATGTGACATCGGTTTCATAATTTTTGGTTAATTTGAAAAAAATTGTGGTTCTTTAGATAGTAAGGTTTAAAATGAAAATAATGCATAACGATAAAGTTATGCAAAACAGAATTTTTAAATTTTCGTTATCTCAAAATACAATCCGAAAAATGCAAAAAGTGAATATGAGTTGTTTTGAAACTAACTGACTTAGGAATGATCGATTGTGTGTTCCTAAAAATTCAATTTTCAATTATGAGAATTTTATTTTTTCTTATTTGAATACCAACTTTAATTGAATATTAGTTAATTATGCAAACGCTCCTCAGTCCCCAAGGAAACTTAATCCATTCTTAATATTATTTTTTGTATCCCAAGCCACTACTCCATAAAGAGAACAAAAGCACTTTGGACTTCTCCCATTTGAAATATCTCTGATCTGAGAGAAAACCCTAATTTTATTTCAAATACCTACCAACTTTTTTACTAACGAAAATTTCAACAACTTGAACGTGTTCACATTTAGTTTTCGTATATCACACTATCGTTAAGATTAGATAAGCATTTCGGAGAACTATCTGCTTTTTTATGGTATGACAAATACTAATGGATTTCGTAAAAAAGTGCTTTTGGCGCATTACAAAAGAAGACAGCAGAAGGGCACCTATGCAGATTGTCAATGTTCCGTATGGGACTATCTAACTGTATAATTTTATGACCCATAAAAGAATTATTCGATGATGATTCACACCGATTCCTTTGATCTATCTATATTTTCCATTACTGATAATGAGATACGATCGAACATTTTAGCAATGCAAGTAATGGTCATGAAGGCATTCAAGATAAGTAAATAAAAAATAACAAATAAATGTTGAAAGAAACATGGCTAAAAATAAGTTAAATCGGGGGTACTGTTATATCAGGCCTATTCCCATAAGAAAATTCCGTTTACAAATTTGATCAAATACCTTAAATCTGCGGGTCTTCAAATGTTAATGTACTCAATGAGAAACTATAATACCAAATTATATTATCAAATCCATTAAATCGGAAACTGTTATTAAACTGGGAACGGGGAGCAATATATTCCCATTTTCAATCCTGTAAAATTTGTCGACAGAATATGATTGTGAAAAAAATTAAGCGTTCTGGACTTTTTCTTTTAATTTTGGAGGAATTACCACAGACGCGTACTATGTACTGACGATTTTGTACTGTTTACGAGTACGCGCGACCCAAAGAGCGGCTCCCCGGTCGTATTAATCGACCTCGGCATCAGAAAAAAATGCCACATATTATCGCGAAAATATTCTGGAGAGTGTATTAAAGCCTTGGGCACGCAAACATTTTGACCGCAGAAGTTGGTCATTCCAACAGGACTCAGCACCACCACACCAGCACGCGCCACCCAAAAATGGTTACGAAATGAGGTTCCTCGCTTCATTACCAGCGCACAATGTTCACCAAATCTCCGAATACCAATCCGTTGGACTATTGTGTCTGAAGTATTTTGGAAACCAAGGTTGGCACTAAAAAATACCAAAATGTCGATCACCTCAAGCAAGGGCTTCGACGGGAATGGGCCAAAATACCGCAGAGCAACACTCGGGCAGCGTGTGACGGTTTCATTGGCCGGTTGAAGGCCATAATTCGTGCTAAAGTTGACCAATTCGAACAAATCTAAACTTATTCTAAAATTTGGTGCTATTTCCAAAATTTTTTGCTTTCATTCAATAAAATTTAAAAAAATGTAAAAATTATGGCGTTTGACTTTGTTGCAGTTTTTTCCATCTCACCATGAATTTATTAAGTTTGTCTTACAAAGACTAACAGGACTTTAGAGATGCATAATTCAGAAAAAACGGAATGATGAAATTAATATTAAATTAATGTACCTTTTGTTAGTTCAAATTCAAAATCCGTGTCAAAATTGTCCTCCTTAGCAAGCCCTAAATTCATCATCATCATGTTGGTATAAGGCCATTTTAAATCAGGCTGCCTACTCATCACAAATAAATGGTTACATGTTTAAGGGACAAATAATTAAACATGCACTCATTTCCATCAATCCCTTAAAGTTCTTGTAATTAACAATTTAGCCTCGTCGCATATGCTGATCATATGAAAAATTACCTCCCTCATGTGATAAGATAGTGGACTGACATTTATATTGATTACTGTCATAAAATGAATTATCAGGTTTTACAAGAACGGCCGGCAAGTAGTGGAACACCTGCATGTGAATGGGAAAATAAATGAAAAATAAATACCTACAAATAATTTCTTGGGGCAATTAATGTCCTCTTTTTACATGAAAAATCGATGTCAGTATGTAAACAGTACAACAATATATGTGTTGTTAACAACCTTTTGCTCATATTTACTCGACCAACAGAGAAAGCCAAGCTGCCGTTAGAAATAAACTCTCCGTGGTCAATTTACTCCTAATTACTCTCTTTGCGCCCTAATTTGTACGACAATAAAATAAGGGGTGCGAGAGTTGTGGAACAACAGAAAATGTCAAAAAAAAACAACCAGTGAAAACGGAACTACAAATGTTTGGGGAATATCAAGCGGGAAGTGTAGTTCCGTCAATGCAATTCAATATTCATTTCATGTTTGCTTCCTTGCCCACCAACAAAATCATACACACAATGTCCACGCATACACACACACGCACGCACGCCAGCAATCATAAACAAAATTCCAATTAGATTTTTGGCATTTAACACAAGCCACGAGCACGCCCTAAAGCAGTCAGCGCCAGCAACAGCAGTGACGACAGAGGAACGTAACCGCAAAAAAAAAACTCCAACATACAGTTGCCAGACCACAATTCTATTTTCAAAATATTGTATTATTCTCACTTTGTCTTTTTACCCCTTTCACGAAATGTTCAAGATTATGGAATAACTTTTCACCAATTATCATGGGCTCCATAAAATTACTCACAGATATTTGATTATAAATCGATTTAATTTCGGCACAACACAAACATCTGATCTGGCAATAATAAAAATACAATCACACCACTACTACCATGACCGCTAACTGCGGCAGCAGCACCAATTATTAATTTAATGATTTTTTGTTCTTTTCTAAATTAAGATCATAGAATTTTTATGGTCAATGCATTGCATATATCACAACTAGCTTCGAGTATTGTCTTAATTCAATATTTCGCACTCGGATCGCACACACACTTGCATTATTAACTGCACCTCTTAAGATTCTTAATTCACATTTCCTTTTTTCATCCATCATCATCATCGTTTTATTACCTTGAAACCATTGCTCATGGTGTTAGCCTTGAGACCATTTTTTCGCGTACGAATCTCTCGATAGGCCGGAGTATTATATTTCTTCAGATGCATTTCTTCCTGCTCCTGGTCATATTTACTTTGCAGGTGATTTGCCTCTGTTGACATTATGGTATCGTTTTCATTAAAATCACCACCATCTGGATTTCCCATTTTTGTGAGTTTTCCCTTAGACTTTTTGCTATGTTTCACACTTCACTATTGCCTCGGCTATTTTGTTTCAGTCGCTGTGCGGCCTGCCTTTGCGTAGTCTGGCACACTAGGGATACGTAAGTCGACTGTCGACAATTGAAACGGTCAAACTAAATTCGATTTTAACATAATCGATTTTCGCTGCCCAACCGTTAGTGTTGTGTAGATCGATTTGGCTATCAGAAGGGCTGATCAAACTTTATATCATGTTTCCATTGTAATATGCATTAAAATAAACTTACAAACTACTATTTTTTTAAATGTACTTTATTCAATAAATTGAATCCATTTCTTCTAAAAAACTTGACATGTTCAATAAATGTTCAAATTCCACAGAACTGAAACTGGTCAAAATTGTATTTATCGATACTTAAATTCAAAATATTAAGTTTTTTGGTTTCTTAGGAAATCCAAACTCATTGACAAAGGGGGACCTCGGATGAATAAGAAAACTCAGAATATTATACTATTAAAAAAATAGGACTTTTTTGTTTTACATTGATTGAAAAAATATAAAAAATCTTTTTAGAAAATGCTGGGTGGAGAATTTAGAAGATATTACATATTTATGGATCGAAAAAGAAATAGAAAGCGAATAACGTATAATAACAGACAGAAGATTAAATCGTGACTTCGATATGAAAATACATCCATACAATTATATCTGTTTTTAATTGCCTTGAAGCAGCTCGCATGAACATCGATGCTTTGCAATATTATTTCAACGTAGACTCATTCCAAATAAGGGAACCAGGAGCTGGATTCTTGTTCTATGAAAATATGACCAGGCACGGTATTTTTTATTTTGTTAAAATAATATACTGTTCAAGAACCTGCAAGAGTCTTCTAGTTTGGCAATTTTTTCCGATTTCATAAAGGGAAAGTCGGTTATCGTACTAAAAAATTTTACATTCTTGCATTTTTGGAACAGACTGTTAACATTTCATAACCGTTTTTATTTCATATTTTTTATTGAACAAAAATGTAGCCCGATCTCTTAATTTTCTGTAACATACCTCTTCAAAAATCGGGTGGGGTAGTCTTGCCGAAAATTGCAATTTTTTATGCTTTTTTTTGCTTCGGAATCTATATACTATTTATCACCGGTTTTTTAATGTTTTAAGTTTATAGAATAATTTTGACGTTTAAGGCTTCCAACCAAGGCGTATTCCTTAGTACCAACCATGGTACAATGAAGAGAAGGTAGGGCAACTTTGAAAAAATTGCAAGTATAGAGGTCTACCTGTTTGGCTTGTAATGTCAGAATTAGTATCAAAACAATAAAAAATGAAACAACTTGTTGCATTTATTTTGAATAAATAATTGAAAACCGCGATAACTGAATGAAAGGTCAACACTTCTTTTCAAAATCATGCACTATATATCTCTAAAGGATTATTTCGCTATAAAAACTCTAGATTTTGACGATGCTTACGTTGAAATAAACATTTTGAAAACACCCGAATTTCAATGTTTTCTGAACAATTTTTTTGTTATTGAAAAGAAAACACATACATAAACAAATAAATATGACATATTAAGCCAAGAAAATAAAAAAATTGAAATCATATGGTATCATAGCCCTACCTTGATATCATTCAGAAAATATTCAAATTCGGGTGTTTTCAAAATGTTTATTTCAACGTATGCATCGACAAAATCTAGAGTTTTTGTAGCGAAATAATCCTTTAGAGATATATAGTACATGATTTTGAAAAGAAATGTTGATCTTTCATTCAGTTATCGCGCTTTTCATTTATTTATTCAAAATAAATGCAACAAGTTGTTTGATTTTTTATTGTTTTGATACTAATTCTCACATTACAAGCCAAACAGGTAGACCTCTATACTTGCTAATTTTTCAAAGTTGGCCTACCTTCTCTTCATTGTACCATGGTACGAACCATGTTAGAAGAATACAGGTAGTCGTATCGACACAGCTGCTGGGACAATGAACTGTCAAATCAATTTGGAATTTAACAATTTGAATGAAAAATTATTCAAATTTGTTAAAAGTAGTTGAAAAATACAATCCAATCAATGATGTATAAGAAAACTTAAAAAATATACTTATATTGGGAAAAAAGTTGTTTTATGCAAAATTTAAAGAAGAAACATTTACGGCAATACTAATGCCTTGCAAATGCTAAAACGGTACAAATATTTTCCTTTAGTATGTAGATTCCACACCGGGTTTAAAATAATTGTAGAGTAAATGCGGATTAAGCAATAAATTAGAACAAAGATGATTTATGACAGAAAGCAAAGACTGGGCGCCATCTATTGTAAATATTTCTTGTCTCCTTAGTACGGAACGACTTTTATTTATATAGGCTTTCATGTCAATAAACAAACAGCTGTCGAACAATGCAAACCGGGAATATTAAAAATTTACGCCTGCATTATTTATTGGAAAATTTTAAAAATCTAATTAGAAAATAAAGACATTAAACGGAATTAATTGTGAGATGTTGTTATAAATTTAATTTACACACTCATTCATAAATTATTTGAAATTTCATTTAGATTTGTCATTCTTTGCTGAGTGAGAGAGCTTTCAAATAGAGAGCAAGAGAGGCATTGGAAAAAAATACACACACACACCAAACAAAAAAACGATTGACTGAATTGGATTCATTTGCAAAACTTAAGTGCAAGCATCATCATTCACTACGACGACGCAAGGGCGATTGCTGTTAATCAAACTGGAAAGAAGCAAAGGCATATCTATATTTTATAAATAATAAAAAAAAAACCAAGTGAACAGTATTAATTTGCGAGTGTTTGTTAATGAATTGAAGAAACAAAAACGACTTTTACAAGAAAAGAAAAAAATCATTCAACAAAAAAAATTGTATGGTGAAAAAAGTCCTGAGAGCTTAGTGTCAAGTTGAAAAAAATAAACTGAGAGGAGAGAGTAAAAGGCAAGCGAAGTGTCAAATGAAAATTTGAGTGAACAGTGTGATAAAAAGGAAAACATACGTCACTTTGAAACCCTGTTTATTTGACACGGGCAACCAACCAACCACATACACAAAGTCCTTCCCATAAATCCTTGATTCCTTCAAAAATAAAAACCAAAAATGGATTTTAATTTCGGTGATTTGAAAAAGGAAACCAACTCTGCCGTTGAGAACATTTTTGACCGTGCTGACGATGCCAAGAAACACGCCCAGGATATGTTGGGCAGCATCGATGACGTTCTAGGAGGTGGTGGTGTTGAAAAAACTGACAATGTTAAATCGGACGGTGTGGTAGATCCCTTGGACCCCCAAGCTTTTGTACAACGTATGTCAGCTGGAGCCAAGGAAGCCCAAGAAGAACTGGATGCCAAATTCTCAAAGAACACCAATGATTTGGAAGATTTCCTAGGCCAGACCACAAACAGTGTAAAACAAGGTGTGGCTTCGTTGACCAATGATTTCATGAATGCCGAGCGAGGTTTTAAGGACAGTGCTGGAGATGCTGCCAAGGAAATCGAGAAGAAGGCCGCCCAGGCTGTGGATGATATATTTGGCCACTTTGGTGGCGGTGATAACAACTTCAAGCCTACAGCCCCTGTTGAGGGTGTAGCCACAAGTGCAAATAACCAATTTACCGACTTTGACGACGATGAGGATGAACCGGCTGCCATGACAACCTTTGGCAAAACAGCTGCAACAGGCATTGCGGCTAGCAACAAGGATTCTGACAATGATTCACCTTCCATTTCTTACAATCCATCTCCAGCCAAAAAGTTACCATCTGATGCCCTCAAGGAGCAAGACAATGAGAAGTTTATTTCGAGTGAAGATCTTTTGGGCGATTTCAAGGATGAACGCACCGCAACACCAGATTCTCAGGCTTCCGCCAATAACTATTCAGCACCATTGGCCAAATTGCAAGAACCCAAAACGACAGATTTGGATGCCGATGATTTTGATGATGACTTTGTTCAGGCTGAAATTCCAAAACCAGCAGAAGAGAAATTCGTTCAACCTTCAGCACCAGTTGTTGAACCGGCACCAGTACCAGCAGCAGCACCAGCGGTGGCTAAACCAGTTCCTGTTCCAGTGGAACCGGTAAAAGAACAGCCAGCCCCTGTGCCAGAAGCTAAAAAGGAGGCACCAGTTCCAAGTGCACCGGCACCAACTGCCCCCACTACGACTGCTCCTACTCCAGTAGTTACGAAACAATCCTCGGCACCCAAGCCAACAACATCGAAGACGGCACAACAACAGCAGCCAAGTATTGTATCGGTTGAGGATATTTTCTATAAATATGGTTTGGGTAAGTACGAAAAATTTTTTGAATATTATGTTTTTGTTTTCAATTGTGTCAAGTTTTGAGTGATGAGAAGTGGAGAAATCCAAGCCGAGAAGGAGATTTTTAGGGGTCAAATGCTAAAAATCATAAAAAAGGAATGATAAGAATGGGAGATTAATGAGGAAAAAATCAGTTTCATTGTCCCCTCTAACCACAAATCCCTGTAAATGATTTACCGAGGAAAATGTTAGATTCTTTGTCCCCTCCCAAACCCTCTGTACATTTGTATGCGTGGGAATCATTTATTTATTTATTTTTTATTTATTTATTTTTTTTTTTTTGTATTATTCGGTCACCCTCAAAATGTGCCTCAATTAAATCGATTGTGAAACGCAGATATGTTTCAAAATAATGTTAATGTTAAGTGGGTCCAGGATTAGATTTCATGTTTCCTGGATTAAGTATACGATTCCCTTATATGTCGAATGTTTTTTTCGACTTAATGTTAACACTACTCGCTCGCTACTTGGATTAATTATCATTTGGAACTAAAATGGTCCTGATTAAAATTTTGAACAATTTTTTACCATATTTGAAGATATACCTAAACGTCTACTTATTCTGATATATTCTTTACAAAAGGGCTAAAATTTTGGAAAAAAGCAAACTTAATATCGATCAAATTTCCATTGAAGATAGACAATAGGGAACCCACTCTTAAACTGGGGTCCACGATTTGATTACATATTTCTGGATAAGGTATGCGATTCCCTCATATGTCAGATGTTTTTTTCTGACTTAATCTTAATACTACTCGCTCGCTACTTCTTGGATTAATTATCATTTGGAACCAAAATGGTCCTGATTAATATTTCTAACAATTTTTTACCATATTTGAAGATATACAAAAACGTCTATTTATACTGATATATTCTCCACAAAAAGGCTACTATTTTGGAATAACGCAGATCTGGTAGAAACGATTTTGTCCAAACTTTTATCGATCAAATTTCCATTGAAGATAGACAATAGGAAACCCACTCTTAAACTGTAAACGTAAACATTTTCACAATACAAATCTGCAGATCTTTGAATTTTCTGGCCCTGTTTTAGCGTGTGCTCTACGAATCCTCTCTTAACCCTCCCCCCCTCTTAACTTCGATTTGTAGATTTCTGGAAAATGAGATCAATTAAAATATAGAAATTTTGATATTAAAAAGAGTAATTTAAAATTAAACAATTTTGAACGATTCATAGAAAATTATCCACTGACGTCTTAGATCAGTAGACATTTTGGAACCTTCCCACGCACAATTATTAAAGAATGCCTCATAAATCCTTCCCGGTATACGATTTCTCATTCTCTCACTTCAAAACCCATTAATTGTTTTCTTTTTTGTTATTATAATGTTAAATACTTTTTACAGCTTTGTTCTTATCAAATGTTTATTTATTCTCATTTTGTGATAAATACGTTTATTTTTATTCATTTGCATCTCGTTTTTGTATGCGTTAAGATTTTTTCTATATACATGGTTGGAACAAAAGTATTATTTTTGTTTTGTTTAATTAGCATTGTGTTTTTACGTCTTAAACCATCGTCTCCCCATTATTCAATCTACAAGTTAACAGAATAATTCAATCTAATCGTGTAAACTTAAACTTAATGGAAATGGGGAAAAAGTATTGCACTCCGATTTTCCCATAGCCTCTGTTTAAGATTTTCATGTGGACTTTTGAAATTATTGTTCGTTTTGTCTGAAACCAAGTCTTTCTTAGTCTGGTTATTAAGTTGCTACTCTGATCGTGGTTTAATGTATAAACTTATTGGTTGTTTTCATTAATTTGTTGCGTGCTTACCATTAGTATTTTCCCCTCTTTTTTACTTATACATTTTATATAAGTAGAGTGAAATGGTTTTTGTTATTATCGTTGTGAATCATATTTCCATATGAGTGTAGTTGTGTTGCCGCGCCGGTTGGACTGACTGCTTGCCAGCCGACATTATGACTTTGGTATGTTTGTGAATAATGATGTCATACAATCAGCCGGCAAGCAATCCGCCAACCAAACCAGACCAAAAAAGAAACATTTTGTCTTATGCCAACACTCTTTTTTTTATTTTTACAAAATGTCATGTCTTGTTTTATTCTATTGTTATTTTTTGTGTATTTCTGAACAGGGGAGGAGGGTGTTGGGTCACTTGCCTGCCTCCCTGTGCCAGTGTAGGTACTAGATGCATTTAAATAACAAATCCACCACCCGGTCTTTAGTTTTTGGAAACACTAATTAAAGACCCGCAGACTGGGTTCTTTTATTTGTCTATAAAAATGCCGGTTTTACTTTATAACTTGATTTTTGTGGAACTCGCATTTGTCATAGATGCCATTGTTGCTGTCGTTGTTCTATCATTGTTATTGCCATGAGTCATGGTTTATTGTATTCTCTCATCATACATACAACTACAACAACAACAACAACTAGACAGTGATTTAGTTTATTTCTTCTATTTTTAGTTAACTTATTTCATTATTGATCTCGAAATACACATAATGACATCGAAAAGGGTTTCCCATAAATAGATCTAAGCATTAAGTGGATTGCTTTCTAAACGGAAACTATTTTGACCTCGCCTGACCTTTCGATGGAAATCTAAATATATTTCGCTTCTTTCTCGGTGTGGATGGTTTGTTAGTTGGTTGGTTCCACACTAATTGTGTTCATAACTCCATGTCATTGACACTAGCTTTACCAAATTACTCATCGCTTTGCACGGGGCATTGTATTTGTTGTGTTTGTTAAAATGTTGGAAATAATCGTATTTTTTGTCACATCACTTACCTTTATTCTACGCAATAGCATTATTTTTTCTCTGTTACCTTCCGGTTTTATCACCAATAATAAATTACACGTGTAACGATTTGTCTCATATATCCACGAAAGTTTGTGTGGCAATAAAAAATAATTGTAAAAGTTTTGTTCTTTTGAATTGTATTGTTTTTGTTGTATTCTGTCCAGGCTCTAAATTCACGTTTGGGGCAAGGTTAACCCAAAAGTATGGCGGCATAAGCTTAGTTTTTCACTTTTAACATAAGACGTAGCAAAAATTGTTGGAATAGCGTTACAGACTCAATTGTTTAAAATCTGTTCAAAATGTGTATAAAAGGCCCCAAAATGGTTTGAATCAAAATATTAAACAATAAATCCATCCCATCCTAATATTTTCAATGTAGATAACCTTTTTTCGTATACCCCACACATAAAGGTACCTCCTATTTGGTATTTCGAAAGCTTTTGTACCAATTTCCAACCTAATAATTTACAATTTGATATTTTGGGTTCTCTGGGTAGATTAACTCCTCACAAAATACATTTTTGGTGTAGTCCCCTAACTAAGTCAGGCCTCAATTTAAGTCAGTTGAACTTTGTATACCCTCCACCATTCATAGTATGGAGTGTATATTAACTTCTTCATTCCGTATGTAACTCATCGAAATACTAATTTTAGAACCAGCAAAGTATATATATTCTTTATCAGCGTAAAATTCTAAGACGATTTAGCCCTGTCCTTCCTCTGTTGTAATCGCGCTACAGATAAAACGAATTAAGATAGGAAGCTAAAATTTTGCACAGATCTGTCGTATAGCCCCCATATAACGATACCGCCGATATTCGGAATTTTTATGATTTTAGCCACATTTTCAATGGAATTGTCTGCAATTGTACACCAAGAGTTCTTTATGAGTAATTTACCCCCTGACAGAGAATTGTCTATATAGGTCCACGATATCGTATATCCCCATACAACGGCACCCTCCGATATTCGGTATTTTGATGATTTTAGCCACATTTTTCAACGGAATTATGTGAAAATCCACACAACGGTACCCCCCGTTTTTGGGTGTTTTTTTAGCCACATTTTTAATGGCTAATTAATTTTTAATGTCTGAAATTGAACACAAGGAGTTCTCTATGAGCACTTCACCCCAGTATTTTTAAGGTGTCCATTCCAATTTCCAAACAATCAGCAATTATTTGACATTTCGGTTTCTAATTGGGGACGCATCAAAATATCATCAATATAACGATAGCCAGTCCCTATAACCGATTCTTGAATATGACTTTAAAGTTTGTGAGATATACACAGAATGTATTCCTTCCTAATTTTAATTTTTTTTACTGTGTGGACCTCCCAAGTTGCGAAATATATTTCTAGGCCGCAAAGAGTGGACATACATTTTGTAGAGAAGAGGTACCCACTTACAATATGTGGTTGATATCGTTCTTGTAACAGCTACACATCTTTTGAAATCTGCTAATCCGATTCTAACTCCTCCTTTCGAAGGGAGTATCCGATTTGGTCCAAACATGATACATCGTAATATTTATATCGAACATAGATCGAGTTGGGAGATGTGCAACATCGGTTCACTCCTTCTTGTACCTCCCCCCATAAAAGATCGAAATTTGCAAAGAAAATATTTTAGTGCACAGAAAATGAAATCTGATTTTGCTCCAACATTGCAAATCCTATGATTTGCATCAGTACTAGGACAGGTGCGAAAATTGACAATATCGGTCAACTCCATCCAGTACCTCCCTCTCAAAGGGTCAAAATTATGAATAATTGTAACACTTATAAAGTGTGATATAAGTGCCCGATTGTCTTCAAATTACACACATCACAATATTTTTATTAATCCAAGGCCTGGTGTGAAGATGGAATATATCGGTCCACTCCTTCTGGTAACTCCCCTGCAAAGTGTCAAAATTTTAAATATTTACAAAGCTTATAAAACAAGAAATTAACATCCTATTCCATTCAGACTTGCCACATCTCAATACTTCTATCAACACTAGATCTGTTATAAAGATGATGTGTTTTAAAAGCGTTTCCGACTTTTTTAATAAAATTTTTTAAACAGGTGTCTTTCCCAACATTTTTTTGAAAAACTTAAACAATGAATGAATTTAGTTTTAAACAAGAATTCGCACAAAATCGCAAGACGAAAAAATGACACAAA